AGTTCTGGTCCCCACCTCTTTGGAAGAGCCTGCTCACAAATCCCTTGGTCCACCTGGGTCTGGAGCTCTGAATGTCCACCATACCCTCCAAGGTTCACCTCATATACACTTGCATTGCAACTTAGTTCCAATTGCTGAATATGTCCCTACTCTTATCTCCCCTACTCAGTATCCTCTCCAAAGCCTGCAAGATTTTCAGTTTTACCTCTGGCAGACTCTGTGTCCCTCTCAACAGTCTACCATTCCCCTCATTATTTCACCATTTGTCGGTTTTCTCATTCACCAATGGCCTCATTTACTCACTTTCATTCATTCACTTACACATTGTGCTGTCATTCATTCAGTCATTCCCTTCTTAATTTCCTCCCAACAGCTGTCAATATGCAGGGACAGTAAAATAACTGAACTGGGCTAGGAATTTCTATTTTCAAGGCTCTTCGGTAACTCTCTCCAGCCTCCCAGGCCCAGTCTCTGTTCCCTTGTGCTTTTCCCAGTGTTGGAGGCTAATGGTTCACAGAGGCGCTCCTACCTCTGCACCCTCACGGGACTCTTGCCATCACACCCATATATAAACATCCATGAACAGAGCCGAGAACTCTACCAGTCCTGATCTGCTTGGGTACCCCATTTGTCCTCAGCCAACTTCTGCTGAAGCAAGAAGTCCTTTGAATTTTTTTCCCAGCTCGTAAAGTTGTAAGTGGGTGGCATGCGCTCATGCACTCACGCGCACACACACACCTCTACCCCAGGCCTCCGGAACATTCATAGGGCTTCTCTCCTGGAAAGAGACTGAGCCCACCTTACCATCCCCCCTACCCTTGCCCCCACCTCAGCTGGGCTGGGCAGGCAAACACTCCTACAGTGCAAGTAGCTCTGCCAGGCAAAGTCAGTCAAGCTGGGACCTGCCTAGGTCCTGGAATGGAAGAGCTGCCAGTTTGAAGCTCCACTCCTTCCTTTCTCTTTCCCTCTCCCCATCCAGGGGACCTCCCAGGCTTCCCCAGGCCCCTCCCAAGGAACACCACCCAGAGCAAATGAGGCCTGCATCCCGACCCTGCCTGTGCCTCAGGTGGAGGAGAAGCCACCTCAGCCCCTACCTCCCTTTCCTGGCTTCTTAGGAGCTCTGCGTCCTCTCCAGTCCCTGCTGGTCCCCATTATTATTCCCAGGTCACAGCTACCACAGCCCAGTGAGGCCTGTGTCTAGAGTTGGGGGCCCCCAACTACCACCAAGAAACACTCGCTCTGTTCCCGGTTAGAGAGGACGCAACAGCTGTGGGCAAGGCCCTGGAATGTTCTGCCCAGTGTCCCAGCCCCTGGAGACGAGCCAGGTCAGCTGCTTGGCCAGGAAGAGGGGCTTACTACCCTGTCTCTAAAGATTTCACAAAGCCACTAGGGCTCCTCATTCCCTAACTAGCCTTTGGGGAGAGTTAATTACCAAAACCTTCTGCCCTGTCTGGCAGGCACCTCTCCCCGGAGTTCCCTTACTTGACCCTTCTTCTGACCTGCCACGGCTTCAGGGTCCCCCAGCAACCCCAGACCTTCCCAGCTAGCCTGGAGTGCTCACCTGCCTCCACGTTGTCCACCTCCTCCAGCAGGGCTCTGAGGCCTGGGCTCTGGTACTGACAGCCAGGCAGCTCCTGCTCAGCAGAGCCAGGGCTCCTCCCCACTGCACTCCCAGAATCTGTCCCACTCCCTCGGCTTTGCCTGGCTGAGCTGGCTGTGGGAAGGTAGTGACTGAACTCTTGACTTGGCCCTGGGGTTGGGCCCTTGTTAAAGGGGTACACACCTTTTTTTTTAAACACCCCTCTACCCTCACCCTAGAGGGAGTGGTAGAAGCTGGCACTCCCCCAACCCCACCCTCCTAACCCCACAGGCTCGGGAGCAGAGCCCAACAAGGTAGAGCAAAGAAAGGGAAGGCTCATCATCTGCCCTTCTCACCCCGGTCACTGAAAGCCAGGTTTCAGGGCAGCCTCCACCAAAGACGAGTTCAGTTAGATTCCCAGGCAGCCTACCTGGCCACAGGAACTTCTTTGCTGTTGGAATTCAAGGAATCTAATACCTGATTTCTGTTGGCTAGAGGAAGAGGGCAGACACAGCAGCTCTTTCTGGTCTGGCATCTCCAGTTCAGCCACCCTGAGCTCAGAAATCCATTTCTAAGACCCTCCTCCACCTCCTCTGCACACACCTAACCCTGTACACACCTTTCCTGCAGGTACCTGAGGAAACCGGCCGCCTTGACCTCCTTTCAGAGGGTGGCAGCCAAAACAGAGAGGACCCTTTCTTTGGCCCACTCCCATGATGACTTCTGTCAGGTCCCAAAGAGACCCCCCTCCAAAAAAGGTGGCTAACTGAGGTGCCTATTGGCATATCAAAGCTCATGGCAGGTTCTCTCAGCACCTGTTACAGCACCTGGCTCCTCTCAGCACTTCTCACCCCACCCCTACCCTAAACCTCTCCAGCTCCTTTTGTTCCCTTCTTTTCCCTTCCCTTCCCTTCCCTTCCCTTCCTTTCCAACCCCCAGCTTCTGATTCCTATATAGGCCATCCATTTTGGTCACATGCACTCTTGGTTCTCTTTGTCCTTTTGGCTTCTCTCTTGATCCTCTACTCTTGGCTCCTGGTCTCCTCTCGATATCCCTCCTCTCATGGCCTGGTCTACTGTGCTGCCATGTTCAGTCTGAACTCTTCCAGTTGCTTCTGGCTGTTCTTTGCCTCCTATCTACAATAAAACCCTCTCCTCAGCCTGACCTAGGAGCAGTCAATGTCCTCACCTTCGTTTTCATTCATCTGATGTTCGAAACCCAGGAGGGCACATATGATCCTCCTTCCTTCCAAAGGGCTCAGCCTCTCTCTCTCTCTCTCTCTTTCTCAATTTAATTAATTTTTTGCATTCCAATCCCAGTTCCCCCTTCCTCCTCCTCTCCTTCTGCTCCCCCCACTGCCCCCCCCACCTCCCATCTGCTCCTCAGAGAAGGGAAGGCCTTCCCTAGGAAGTCTAAGTCTGTCCCATCATCTCCTTGAGGCAGGACCAAGGTACCTCTCCACCCCACCCCACCCCTGTGTCTAGACTGAGCAAGGTATAGAATGGGCTCCACTAAGTCAGTTTGCGCATTAGAGTTAGAACTTGGACCCATTGTCAGTGGCCTCATATATTACCCCAACCACACCACTGTCATCTATATTAAGGGAGTCAGGTCAGTCTTATGCAGGTTCCCCATTTGTCAGACCTGAGTCAGTGATCTCTCACTAGCTCCGGTCCACTGATTCTGTGGGTTTCCTCACCATGGTCTTGACTCCTTTGTTCATATTTTCACTCCTCCTTCACTTTGATTGTACTCCAGGAACTCAGCCCAATGGTTAGTTGTGGATTTCTGCATCTGCTTCTATCTGTTTCTGGAAGAGAGTTCTAGCTTCTCTAGGGTTGTGGATTATAGGCTGGGTATCTTTTGCTTTATGTCTGGCATCCACTTATAAGTGAGTACATACTATATTTGTCTTTCTGGGTTACCTCACTCATTTGTGTTTTTTTTTTTTCTAGTTCTGTCCATTTGCCTGCAAATTTTAGGATGTCATTGTTGTTTACTGCTGAGTAGTAGTCCATTGTGTAAATGTGCCACATTTTCTTTATCCATTCTTTGGTTGAGGGGCATCTAGGTTGTTTCTAAGATCTGGCTATTATGAATAATGTTGCTGTGAACATAGTTGAGCAAATATCCTTGTAATATGAGTACATGGGTATATGCCCAAAAGTATGTATCGCAGGGTCTTGAGGTAGGTTGATTGCTAATTTTCTGAGAAATTGACAAGTTTGCACTCCCACCAGCAATGCAAGAGTGTTCCCCTTACTCCACATCCTCTCCAGCATAAGCTGTCTTTGGTGTTTTTGATCTTAGCCATTCTGATCAGTGTAAGATGGTATCTCAGAGTTGTTTCAATTTGCATTTCCCTAATGACTAAGGATATTGAGCATTTCCTTAAGTGTCTTTCCACCATATGAGATTTTCTGTTGAGAATTCTCTGTTTAGATCTGTACTCCATTTTTTTATTGGATCAGCCTCTCTCTTAACAGAACCAACCTGCTGATTTGACTCTACTGAAGTATGTACAGATCATTTGTTTCTGTTGGCTTCTGCCACCCATCAAATTTGACTACAAATTCTACAGCCTGCCTCTTCATTCTTTTCTCCCCTCCACCTGTTCTAACTATCCATCTCTTCTCATCTACTCAGAAAGCGTCTGTGTGGCTCCTGGTGCCTGCTGTGCCCTTGAGGGCAACAACCACTTGGGCATCTCTCTGCTACTTACTCCTCTCCCTCTATTGCAGTGGTTCTCAACCTGTGGGTCACAACCCCTCTGGGGGTCAAATAACCCTTTCACAGGGTTGCCTAAGACCATCAGAAAACACAGACATTTACATTATGATTCATAACAATAGCAAAATTACAGTTATGAAGTATCAATGAAAATAATTTTATGATTGAGGGTCACCACAACATGAGGAACTGTATTAAAGGGTTGCAGCATTGGGAAGTTTGGGAACCACTGTTCTACTGGAACCTTCCCTTCTCACAAAAGCCTCTCCTAGTCCACTCCAGCTGTTTTCTCCTCTAGCTGATCTAACCACTTGTCTCTTCTCCTCTACTGAGTAAGTGTCACCCTGGAGTTGCCTAATTTGTCTATTATTACTACAAAAGCCACACTGGTATGCCAGAAAGCTCCTCTCATCCTACCGAGCCCCTATCACATGGAAAATGATGCCTCTCCTCTATGATCTAGGACATTTCTCTCTGACAAGTCTCTCAGTTCCATTGGGGATGCCCCAGGTTGAAATCCTTATCATCATGACACCTCCTCTGCTTCCTTTGTTCTCCACTGTTCCTGGAACTTCTTCCCCTCTCCCTAGGAATTGCAGTCCCATGGCTTCCTTTCATCCTTCTGGGCCTCTACAATATTGGAATCCTCCCTCAGGCGGAGTCCCTGTCTGTGACCCTTGTTCCTTCTGTCTCTCAGCTTCCACCTGGAAGCCCCACTGCTTCCTTACATTCTCCTGGGCCTTATATGACCCTTTTCTCTCTTCTTCCTCAGACTTAGAGACTTCATTAAAGCCTCGTGTCTTACTGCAAACGGCTTGGTCTCAGTACAGCTCAATCAACAGCCAAAACTTGACAATATTACGGGGTTTCAAATACTCTCATATGGTAACAACCTCTGCCACTGCACAAACAAATGATTCCCCAAATCTCATATCTAAACTTTCTCTCCCCTACACTTCCAAAAAAGTCTCAACTCTTAAGGTTTTTCTATTTTCCACTCTTAAAAATCTTTTATCTCAGCCAGTGAGGACACATGCCTTTAATCCCAGCACTAGGCCAGCAGAAACAGGAGAATCTCTGAGTTTGAGGCCAGCCTGGTCTGCAGAGTGAGTTTCAGGGCTACATAGAGAAACCCTGTCTGGAAAAAAATTATCTTTACTGTTTCTTTGCTTTCTGTTCTCAAAAAATATCTTAAGACTATGTTGTTAACCTCAAAATTTGTAAATTCATTGGGTATGTTTTTAAAATCTGTAACAAAATTTAACTTAAAACTTATAACAAAAGGTTTATATTTACAAATCTATACATAGGTAATTTTAATTTGCTGCAACATATATAAGTGTGTGTATGTGTGTGTGTGTGTGTGTGTGTATTTGGGTTTTTTGTTTGTCTGTTTGTTTTTCAAGACAGGGTTTCTCTGTGTAGCTTTGGAGCCTGTCCTGGAACTCGTTCTGTAGACCAGACTAGCCTTGAACTCACAGAAATCAGACTGCCTCTGCCTCCCAAATGCTGAGATTAAAAGCATGGACCACCACAGACCAGCAATGATTCTATTCTTGTTTAGACAATACTATATATGTAACTTGGATTTGTTAGACCCCCCCGGAAAACTCAGGTATCCGGGGTCCCAGGCCACGACCACAGTCACCCAAATCACCAGGCAGATTTGAGAGCTGGCTGCAAACTGCATGAGGCTTTATTGTAATTTAACGAGCTAACCCCATGTTAGCTTGGGTCTTTCACCCACCCTCCATGGCGGAGGGCTCGCAAAAGACTCTGAGAAGCCACAGGACCGAGATCTTATAGGGCAGCGTAAGGGGAGTGTCTAGGGGTACGCAAAGGGTCACTATTGGTGTAACCTCCAGGCTTGGAGGGCTTGCCCTGTGTTGATTGGCCAACTGGTTGTTATGGCCCATAGGGTGGTTGCTATGCTCTGCATCATTGCTGTGTGCTTGTCCGAAAGTACACCCAGGGTCGTAAAGCATAGCGCCACCAGCTAACTTCTGATTGGTTCCTTGTCAAGAGGCAGGCATCTGACTTTCTAGTGTCTAGGACAAGGTCATAGAGCACGTGTTCGGCCGTTATGACTGCCGAAAGGGGAGCTGGCCCCTTCATTGAGACATAAGTCTAACTGCTTTTGTCTTTACTAACTGTTCAATACCAGGCTTCTGGAACATTTTAAATACTAAACAACAAGTTTGATAAATAATGTGTATTTGATAAATAAGGTTTATAAATTCCTAAGATCCACTCAGGTTAACAGTAGCTGACTTGCAGATGTAAGTCTCACCTCTTCTTCTTTGCTAACTTTTCTAAGCTCTGTCTTCTGGAATAAACTGAATCATGCAAGAAACTGATTCTGTAGTCTTTTACTATAAAAGGATCAAGATGTCAGGTTTAAAGCTCTCAGGAGGCAGAGGCAGGCAGGTGGCAGATCTCTGTGAGTTCAAGGACAGCCTTGTCTATAGAGTGAGTTCCAGCCAAAACTATACAGAGAAACCCCATCTCAAAAAGAAAAAAAAAAAAAGGATCAAGAAATAAGGTTGCCAATCCCCCTTGGACTGTATTTATGGTTTTGTTAAGTCCCCGGTCTCTCTGCAGAATTTATTTATGGTTTAAAGTTTCATTTTGATGCTAAAGTTTCTTAAACTTCAATTTTTAATGCTCAAACTTAACAGGGCTAAAATCATAAAATCCTGATCTTATTTTTTAAAAATAAGTACTAACTTGTTGTATACTGTTAAAGATAATTAAGACATGCAAGTCAACAGCCAGACACCTTATAAATGATCAAATTCTTTACTCAAAACTATGCTCATAAGCCATACTAAGTACAAATGCAATTTGTTTACAGGGACAAGTTTTATTTAGCCTTCTGCATATGGTTTTATTTGGTTTGGGTTTTTGGGTTTTTGTTTTGTTGTTGTTGTTGTTTTGGTTTTTTGAGACTGGGTTTCTCCGTGGCTTTAGAGGCTGTCCTGGAACTAGTTATTGTAGACCAGGCTGGTCTCGAACTCTCAGAGATCCACCTGCCTCTGCCTCCCAACATGCGCCACCACTGGGCTCTCTATATGTTTTTCAAGGTTAAGCCTAAAGCAAGTAACTGAAACCAGGTAAAGCTTCCTTAACTCAAGTATACTTAATAGATGATGGTCCTCAAACTCCTCAGAGATCTGCTGAATATGGCACTTTAAATGTTTAATAGAAAAAAAACTTCCTGTGATAAACAGAACTGCCACCCCTAGCAATGACCCTAAAGTCTCCAAAGAAGATAATGGGGCACAGACTACTCCACCTAGATTGTGGTAACACTAACCACTGGGCAAAGAACTGACCCATGCCTCAACCACAATGTTTCTGCCCAAGCTGTGGACATTGTTGGGTTGACTATCCTACTCTTCCTCATCAAGGTATGCCAGTTTTCCAAGGTCTTCCTCCACAGGAAAATCTCTCATATCTCTGGGTCTAGCAGCCAAAGACCAATGTTGTCCTGTGTGGTAGCTGAAGATTTAATGCTATCCTGTGTGACAGCCAAAGACCAAATACTTCTGCCCCCAACAAAGCCATCAAGACCACCATGGAACACTTAGGCTAACCATCTAGGTAGCCAATAAATCTGTCACTTTAACTGGTACAGGGGCCATTTGGATTAACTTTCTGCTATAATTTATCCCTCTCGAGTCTCCGATACTGTTGATGACTAACTGTAGCTTTATGTTAACAGCAGCAAGCAAATCAGTTCCTTCTCCAAGGCTGCAGCTGCTTGGTCAGTCCATTTCATATGATATGAGCTACTAGGTATCCCGCTGAGAAAGGTAGACAGACTTTATCTTCCTGGAAGACTTCACACTGAAAAAGATAAACTCCCAAAACAGGTTTCAGTGTAACTTTTTACTATTCCTTTATTTAAAGGAACTTGCTTTGCAATGACTGCTCTCAGGAACCAACCACGTGTGTCTCATAGTAAATGTTTGGGTAGAAAGAAAGGTTTGAAGCTTGTATAAGTTCTAAGGGTCTGAAAAAGTGAAGTTTATATGCGTGCAAGATGTAAAGGATGTGAAAGCTTAAGTTAGTTGTGAGGGTCTAAAAAGGTGTTTTGTTTTGATTCTGTTTGGCTTGGGTTTTGGTTTTTCAAGACAGGGAGGTTTCTCTAGATAACAGTCCTGGCTGTCCTGGAACTCCCTTTGTAGACCAGGCTGGCCTCAGACTCACAGAATTCTGCCTGCCTCTACCTCCCAAGTGCTGGAATTAAAGGCATGTACCACTACCACCTGTCTGGTTGTTTTCTAAGTATGGCCTTAAAAGTGTTTTTATACACCCAGTCTTCTGGATAGAGGAAAGCATGTTCGTGCTTTTAACTCATCAT